TAACTTTATTAAAATCAACGTTTTCATCACTCAACTTCTAAACCTAACAAAATGATCACCTAACTTCTTAAGTTGTCCAACCGTTAGTCACCCATAGTTAATATTAATTAAAAATGTTAAATTGCCGTTAAGGTGGCTAACTTAAAATGCCACGTCATCCGACCAGCATTACAAGCACTTATTAGCACTAAAAACATGAAAATTGTAATCTAAATTCCTAAAATTTTATCTTTTTTAATGATTATTCACATGATGATCTTAAGGTCTTTTTTCATGCTAGTTTCTTTATTTTCAACTTATACCTTTTTGTTTCTTTGATTATATTTTAAAATTATCAATATAACTATACAACATTGTTATTTTTATTTTCGAACAAGAAATATAATGTTATGTCTGCAAGAGTTTTGATCATTTATGTTGTGCCAATTTTGTTGACACTAGTCTTAGAGAAGTTTCATGTTACAGATATGGCCAACTAGATCATACTAGTTTGGTAATTTATTCTGAGTTTTCTCGATGTCCATTTTCATTCATTTTGTCTATTATTAGGTAAGCTAGAAAAGGGGTTTCTTGGAAAATTTAGCTTTCCTCTATTTTAGAAATCTGTCTAGTCCCAAAGAAGTTTCATATTATAGACGCAGCCAATAGATCATACTAATTTGGTAATTTATTTTGAATTTTCCTAATATTCATTTTCATTCACTATATTTGCTTAAATTAGAGGAGTTAAAAAAAAGCCAAAATTTTAAGGATTTAAATTACAATTTTTACATTTTTAGTGCTTGTAATGCCACGTCAGATCCCCGTGGCATTCAACTTAGCCACCTTAATGGCAATTTAACATTTTCAATTAATATTAACTATGGATGACTAACGGTTGGACAACTTAAGAAGTTAGGTGACCATTTTGTTAGAATTAGAAGTTGAGTGACCAAAATGTTGATTTTAATAAAATTGGGTGACCACCCATGAGATTCACCCTAAAAAATATATACATTTTTTAATTCCCTAGTTCTCTATGAATCAATTTCGATCGCCTTGAAGTACTCATCCCCTCCAAACTCACTATCTCACAAAATTTCCCCAAAACAAAGATCGATACAAAAATTACTCCTCAAAAAAAAAAAGAAAAAAAGAAAAGAAAAGAAATCATGTGTTGAGATTTTGCCGATTGACTAGATTAGAAAACCTGTAACCGAGAAATAGATTCTACAGGGAAAGGGGCGGTCGGTTGAGTGAGAGAAAGATTTATGAAAGGTCGAAGATAGATTATCCAGTTGTAACTGAGGGAGTTTGATCCAAGATTTCCTTGAGAACACTTTTTATTTTGATGAAATATAAAAATTTAGAATTAAAATTCATAGATTAAAAGATGTATTTAAAATATATAAATTTTAATTTTAAAATACATAATTTAAATATATGTATTTAGATAAAATTTAAATACATTGCATCCAAATAAAAATAAATAATATATTTAAATTTAAAGTTACAAATTCAAATATTATCCAAACAACTTCAGTTACCAAACAATGCATAAAGAAATTCCACACAAGATTATAGGAAAATTTACACTTGAATAATGAAACAATCCGATTATAAACACTAAACGAGATGGAAAGAAGAAGAAGAAGAAAAAAATAAAGAACAAATTCCAGTGAGACATTTCAACAAACATGACACAGGCAG